CTAGGCTACATCCCGCCTTTAGTATTTGCAGCAATTCACTGCAGTTTTTCTAAAAGAATTAACCACTCACCATCTTCCATAGATGATTGTTAAATACATCTCACTACTTCTCTTTGCTGCTTTATAAATTTATAAAGTTTCTTTATAAATCGAGAAATTGATACATGGAGAATTGCTGTAAAGAGAATTGATTGACCAATAGTTTAGGGCTTGCAAATCTTAAGGGAACCTTGTAAAATGTCACCAGATCTTGCCAGACTCGGATTTCCAATGTAATTGACCTCTAACATAATTAAAGTTCTGTTGTAATTTCATTTCTCAGAAGAAGCACTGTGGTGTCAGCGACACTCCAAGTAAGAAGTCTGAAGTGTAAAGGAGTCTCTGTCCCACGAGTCCCAGCTGTCACTGCTGCAGACAGACCTTCCTCCAGTGTTTATTCTTCCAGCTGGGCTGTGGGACCATGCTGGCTCCACTCTCAGTTTATCTGACAAATGGGGACTCCTGGGGTCTGGCTGACACAGGGTCCCTTCATCTCATCAACGTGACTCCCAGGGAGCTGTTGGCGTGTCACCTGCCAGAGCCCTCTCCCAGGAAGCCATGGAGACCCATCAGTGACCCAGCTGGGGCAGTGACCAGGGCCAAGGGTATGGAGCTCCTCCTTTGGAGCTGTCCTGGGGATGAGTATGTTTAATTAGTTCTCTGAGCCGCCGCTCTCAAATACCCGAGGTTTTTGTCACTGTCCTTTAGTCACGTTTCTGTCCGTACCGCTTATTATCCAGATGGCATCTCCATCCCATCTCCCGTGTGCCTTGGACTCTCTTTACTGTTTATAATTCACAAATTTGGTTCTGTCACATACTGGCCCACAGTCTTCCCTAAGCTTTAGCTCATCCAGGAAATCCTTATTTACACAGAAACAGCACATAGTATTTTAGAGTATTTTAGCCCCGGAGTGCTGTACGGGATGCGCCGCTGCCCCGGCTCTCGCTGCCTCTGTAATTATTTCTGCAGCTGCCCTCCAAGAGCGCTCTGAGGATTTAAGGGCATCAAGAGGTGTGATCTCAGCTCCACACACGTTTCCAATTACAGGAAAGCCTGAAGTGAAGACAGAACTAACTTTACGGAAATTCTGTTTAAAGGAAATAAACTCCACTGGTCCTTCAGGGAGTCGGGCCGTTTCCCTGCCCGTGCAGCCTTTGTGTCCTCCTCCTCTTGGCTGCGTGCAGCGTTCTCAGGAGGACAGGGCCTTCCTGAGGGCTTTTGGATCCAGGACAGGTTTACCCTCCCATCCACCACCCCCCGCTTCAATTTAGGGGCCCACAGCTGCCACTTGGTCGCCTTTCTCAAGTTCTCCTCTTTGTTCTTGAGAAGGTGCTGTGGTTACAGCTGTCAGTGGGACGCAGCAGCCGTTGTGGCACCAAGGGCTTTTGCACCATCAGAAGATGCACAAAATACCCCAAAGTGGCTTTATTCTCTCTGCTCCGGGGTGAGTTGCCTTCCCAGGTGTGGGGTTCAGCCTGGTTTGCAAACACTGCTTTTCTTTATTCAAAGACAGCATAAAAATTACAACGTGAGCAGAAGGTGAGGCCGGAGCAGAGCAGCCTCTTGGGCTTGATGTCTCTGTTTCCCGCAGAACTTGCAGTTTCAGCAGTGATGGGCTTCGAAGAGGATGTGGTTTATGTTCCTGCTGTTCAAATGTCTCAAACCCAGCAACAGGCTGGCTGTTCCTCTGCCCAGGTTTCAAATGTGAAACCAAACTTGTGTTTTCTTCACATCTGACACCTACAAGCACGGATTAGGAGGACGGTGGGGGAGCGTGTGTCCAGGGGAGGGCTGGGAATGTCCCGGGGTTGGTGGGAGCGAGGGCGATGGCTGGGCTGTGGCTGGGCTCAACAGGGTCTGCGAGCATCATATTTTGGTGCTTTCTCACAGAAACAGGGCACCCAGACACGGAACCACATAATTTCGTTCTGCCTGCTTCACTCATGGCCCTTCCATTGAGAGTAATATTGTCCCGGGGTTGGTGGGAGCGAGGGCGATGGCTGGGCTGTGGCTGGGCTCAACAGGGTCTGCGAGCATCATATTTTGGTGCTTTCTCACAGAAACAGGGCACTCAGACACGAAACCACATCATTTTGTTCTCTCTGCTTCACTCATGGTCCTTCCATTGACCAAATCCCTCAGTATCCCTAGTTTTTATTGTGTCCTTAACCGTTTTCCTTACTTTCCTGAATCCCACCAAGTTTTGTTGGTGTCGTGTGACCAGCACTGTGGTACGTGAGATGGTCAAGGTGAATTCTCTGTAAGAATTTAACATACTTCATCATCCCGTGGTTACACACAGCGTCGTCTCGCCGGCCGCTTTCAGGTGACAGTCAAGTGAATTCGCTGTAAGAATTTAACACACTTCATCATCCCGTGGTTACACACAGCGTCGTCTCACCGGCCGTGTTCAGGTGTTGCCACCTGAGTGGATCCCTCTCCTGAGGTGACCCAGTTACTGCAGATTACTGCGGGTTCCAGCAGCCTCTTGGGGTTTTTTCCTCCAAAAGTTACTTCTTTGATGTTTTACTTGGTAATTTTGGTCTTTTGTCCTCTTTATTCTATTTCTCTGAATTGCTCTGGTCTTAGCTAACGGGAATACTGACTGGTTTGCTGTTTCCTGCCCTCCTGGCCGGCGCTGGGCACTGAACTGCTCCCTCCTCAGTACGGGACCAGGCAGGAGTTTGCCTGATTTCTTGCCCTGTTACCATTTGATTCTGTTCTTTGCCTTCTCTCCTTCTTCTTCTCCAACTGCAGTTTCAACCAAACTGGGAGAGAAATGCAAGTTTCTGAACGTTCTTGCTGCTTTCCAGGCCTTGGTATAACATCAGGGTTTGGGTTCTTTTCCCTTTTAAGCGGTATTCCCACTTGCTGTGTGACAGTGGCACCTTTCTCTCGTGCACGTGTCACCTGGGTATGCTTGTATCACCTGGGACTTTGAAATCACTGGTTTCTTACCACACCTTTTCATTGCTGTTCTTTTTAATGACATTTCAGAGCGTGACATTCCCTCACCTCCGGGGTGTATGGCCTCTGGAAAGCTGCTCCTTCCATGTAATGCCCATGCCAGCTGGGAGAACTCTAGTTTTCATAATCTGTTGTTACTAATTCTCTGCATTTTATGGCAGCGTTGCTCTCTGGTGTTTTTGGGACCTTCCCTTTTTTCCCCTATTGTTTTTCTCCCTATTTTTTCTCCCTATTTTTCTCCCTACTGTTTCCAGGAGCTTCCCTCCTCTGTGGCTACTGAGCGGGATCACCCTGGGGCTGTCGGGAATGAGGAGCTGTTGTCCTGATCTCTGAACTCCTTTCTGCTGCAGAGGGACACTAGTTTAGCCTCCTGTTCTGGAACTAATTGCTTCATGAAGCAGTGATTTAAACAGTTTACATGGGAATCTGTTTATTGTCCTTGACGATAGGGATTCTCACTGCCCCGAGATCAAACTTTCTTTTACTCTTCATTTTGTTCCCTTGATCTTACAATGGGTATTGTTATCTGGACAAATTCACCTGTGGCTGTAGAGAGACGTGTATTTGCTGACTCGGGGTGTTTCCTTTCCCCCCCCAGCTGCCTCCTACCCAGTGGGGCAGATGGAGCTTTAGATGTGGCTGCAGGTGCAGCTGTGTCTCGTTGATGCTCTGTGTCCGTGGGGCAGAGTCAATGTGGGGCCTTCCCATTAAGGGCACTCTGCCTTTTGGGGTGGTAGGGTTTCGGTCCCGGTGTGGAACGGGGGTGACTGGTGGGGGGTGTAGGTCCGTGGTGGGATAACCTCGGCTGCTGCCCAGGGCAGGACAGATTGGCCAGGACAACGGAGGCAAAGCCCTGATTCCCCACCCTGGGTGGTTGGTTGGAATGAGAACACGTAAAACTCCAGATCATCCGAAACGAGAAGCCGTGCCTGAGGGCTCCACGTGGCTCGGGCTAGATTTCCTTAAGCATTTGGCTCCTCCACTGGGAATATACGTCCATTTACTGGGATATCCTGTGTATTCCCACATTTCTTTTTAAAAAGGGGCAAGTGATGGTCAAGTTCCACTTCCTTTGCGTGTCATTTACCTTCTCGCTCTTGCGTGGGGTTTGGATTTATTCTGATCAGGGGCTGCTACCAATGAGGTGACTGAGCACAGTTCATTCCAGATGAAGACAACTGTTACCTGTGTCTGTGTGTCCAGTTAAATTGGAATTGGCTAAACCCCTGTGAACCTGCAGCTCCTTCTCCGGCTGCAGTGGTGTTCCATAGCAGCTATTTACTAGAGGAATGAAAGGAGAGATGGACGAGACCCTGGGTGGTTGGTTGGAATGAGAACACGTAAAACTCCAGATCATCCGAAACGAGAAGCCGTGCCTGAGGGCTCCACGTGGCTCGGGCTAGATTTCCTTAAGCATTTGGCTCCTCCACTGGGAATATACGTCCATTTACTGGGATATCCTGTGTATTCCCACATTTCTTTTTAAAAAGGGGCAAGTGATGGTCAAGTTCCACTTCCTTTGCGTGTCATTTACCTTCTCGCTCTTGCGTGGGGTTTGGATTTATTCTGATCAGGGGCTGCTACCAATGAGGTGACTGAGCACAGTTCATTCCAGATGAAGACAACTGTTACCTGTGTCTGTGTGTCCAGTTAAATTGGAATTGGCTAAACCCCTGTGAACCTGGAGCTCCTTCTCCGGCTGCAGTGGTGTTCGATAGCAGCTATTTACTAGATGAATCAAAGGAGAGATGGACGAGAGATGACAAATCTGAAGCTGGTGGTAGGAATTGCTGTTGGCTTTCAGAGGAAAGCAGCTGCCTTGGTGCGAGGGGGGAAATAGAGGTGATTCTTCATGCAAGAAGTAGCATTTGCTGGAGGTGCGGTTTTCATGAGCCTCCTGGGATGATCTGGAACGGCAAGGGCTGGCGAACGTGCTGCAGGCAAATGGATAAAGGTGGGATTATGTGTTTTGTTTCTTTTTCTTTTTGCAGTGTCATCTAGACTGTCCCAGACATCCTCCCCGCAGTCAGCCTGCCCGTCGCCTTCCATCCAGGCAGGCAAAGTCATCTCCTCCTCCCAGAAGCACAGCAAGAAGGCGCTCAAGCAGGTGAGTAGCCTGGTCTGGGATCTGCTTTGGGCATCGTCAGAGTCGTTTTATTTCTGGGGTAAATTGCCTTTCTCAGGGAAGCTGCGCCCCGCAGGGAGGTGAGTCAGGGCTTCCTGGCTGTCTCACACAAACAGTTCCGCTAAAACACCCCTCTCTCTTAAAGGTGGTTCAAAATATTGTGCTCTTTAGTTCTTTGCTTTTTCCCTAAGTAAGCATCTAGAATTTATTTTTTTATTATTGTTATTAGAGAACAGATTTGAGACGTTACTTCTTTTCTCCCAACCTCTTGCTGGGTGCTTAGCTTTCTGCAGTCTGTTTTACTGAAGGGAAGGTCTTTATGGGAAAAGAATTCAATCCCCTGCCCCCTGCCCCCCGTTAGCAGCACATCTCCCCTTCCCAGGGGCTGTGGGTGCCGGGTGTGTGTGGCTGGAGGGGAGAAGGGGAAGGAGCAGACACTGACTTCGCGTTGCACCTCTGCTGGGTGTTGGGAGAGAAAGAGGACGGATTATTTTCCATGCCTGGGGAATGCTGGTGTGCAGACAGTGTTAATTGTGTGCAGGCGGGATGGAATGGGTGAGGGTTTGTACTTCACATCATTTGTTCCTCCTAATGAAAAATGCAAGACGAATTAGTCCCCGGAGTGTGTTGTGTGCAGGTGTTTCCCCAGCGGCATTGTTTAGTTTTCCATGGTCCTTAGAAAGGAAATGCTTTATCGGGGTTAGATTTACTCCTTAGTAACTTAAAACCTGTGAGGGTTTATGAATGGAGTTGCAGAGGAGGTGCTAGTCCAGGGATCACAGAGGCTTGGCCCCGGCAGAGGAACACCTGCTCCAGGGCGTTGGGAGGAAGCTGGACTTCCCCAGAGCTCACAGGGAGGTTGGTGAGGAGACAGAGCCAGACCCATCACAATGTGGTGATGGATGCAGGAGGAGGAGGAACAGTGGGCACAAGTTGGATGGTATAAGGGAAAACAGGAGATGAGGAGAAGGTTTAGCCCCACCAGGACAGTCCAGCAGTGGGGCCCAGAGAGGTTGTGCCATCTCCAGCCTGGGAGGTTTCCAAGCCCTGACCAGCCGGAGCCCTGAGCAGCTGATGGAGCCAAACTGACCCTGCCCTGAGCTGGAGGTTGGACTGGAGACCTCTCGGGGTCCTGTCCCACCAGAATTACCCTGGGGTTATGACAGGACCCAATATAAATTAGACATAATAAAGAAGCTCCCAAATATTTATAACAGAACTAAGCGTGAAACTGACACAATTTACAAAGAGGTATCTAATGAGTAATTCTTTCCTCCTCTTCCCACAGGTGCCTCAGCCACCACTGGTGTGGGCACCTCAGGCAGTGCATGACCGAGAGCTGAGGTGACACCGTCACCAAATGCAGAATTCTTTTACCTAAGCCAGGAAAAATGCAGCAATTAAATGGCATACAGAATAGGTGAACTGAATACACAAACTGTTAAAAATTTGAAGTGATTTACATCATGAAAGTGTGGGATTCAGACACCCCCCTGAACATACAAGAGGTCTTCATAGTCTAATACTTCCCTGACATTCATGGTTGCCTGCAGTTCATCTTCACACCAGAGAAGAATTTGTGAAAGCTTTCTTGAACATTTATATGGTTGTTTGTTCCTCATATGAATTCTAGGTCTCTCTTTTATCTTTCTGGGTTTTTTGAAAGCTTTTGACCTCAATAACAGGAGGTTAATTGTGCGTTGCAGAGGGTACTTCCTCTTACTGGTTTTCAATTTTGCTGTGTTTCAGTTTGGCTGAAGGGTTCTTTTAACCTGTGGCAGAAGTGGATAATTTAGAACTATTTAATAAATTGGAAAATAGGAAGCTAACATGTTTGCTCGCTGCCTGTATCCTTGTGTGGTCAGTCTCCCTCATTTGGGTCTTTACAAACTGGAAGTCTGTCTGTCTGTCTTCTGCTTTCCTTGCCTGGCAGATTCTGCAGGTTTCTGCAGTTTTATTCTCTCTCCCAGTTGTAACTATTGTTATCGCTGTTGTTGTTATCTAAGATAGCAATGACCTCTACTTAACACTCATTTATATAGATGCAGCATAATATTGCCCGTTACTTTCTATCCTGAAATTCCACTATATACTTGATCTGTCATAACTTACTCTGCTGTTAAGTTTATTTAGGTTTGGAATTCATTTTTTGAAAAGAGACACTTTGGTCTGGGGAAATGCTGCAGTTGAACCAAATGCCTTCGTACTTCCTCAGTCCTCTCTGCCTTCTAGGCTGTGTCAGGGTTGCTTTAACCGTCTGCTCTGAAACAAAGGATTTTATTTTCTTCCCTTTAGTGTTTTAATTGTTGTTAGTCTCCTAATTAAAAAAGTCCTTCCTAATGAGAAGCATCTCTGTTGAAGGCTTAGTCAGTTGCTGCTTGCTTCTCCAGGAGATGGAAGTTAATGATATTATGATTCTTTGAAGTTATTTATACAATTACTTCATGAACCAACTCTGGATTTGGAATCCTTTCTCTGCATTCTCTAGAGATTTTATTTCTTTTTTTCCATGAAAAGATACAAGTTAAGGTATTCTGCAACCACTCACTTTTTGCTTTAGATGCACAAGTGGGAAGTCTGTTGACCTGTAGTAATACATTTAAATAGAGAGTGTCAGTGTCCCCTGTGAACTGGATGTGCTTCAGAAGTTGTTCTGAACTTTTGACATAGTTAACGAGTCAGAATCCAAATAATCAGTCGCTGTAAAACAAGCAGTTTGTTTGCTAATAATTTCTAAGAATATTCTGAATTTCCCTTTGCTCACGTTCTTCTGCCCTCTTCCCCAGGCCTTGAAGCAGCAGCAGCAGAAGCAGCAGCAGCAGCAATGCAGAGCAGGCATGCCCGTCTCCTCTAACCAGCACGTCCTTCTCAAGGCTGTCAAGGCAGCTGGGGACTCCACCCCGGCCAAATCCGGTACGTGGCAGTGACACTCCTACCTCTCCTTTCACTGTTTTGGCTCTCCAGCTTGCCTGTTCTTAGGGGATGAGAGAAGAAAGTGCTCTTTTCATACTCCATTCTTTTTGTTGCTGAAATAGCCTATCTTCTGCTTTCCTGGCTTTGACTTTATATGGGGTTAAGAACAGATCTTGAATAGATCTTATGGTGCCATTGTCTGGGTAAAAAGCTTCTCTCTGTGATAAATGTCTTCCCTGCAGCTGGCTGGGGCTGTGGTCAGATGCTTCTCATGGCTAAACAAATCAAGGTGGTGTTTCTCTTAGTATTAGTTTCTTTTCCAAAGTGCCTCCTCGTTCTGTAGCGTGGCTCTCGTGTCTTGCTCCAAAGAACCTGCTCATCTGAAAGATCCCCAGAAGCAGGGCCCAGGAGCAGCCTCCAGAGCTCATCTACTCCACGTCCTTCCCTCGAGGCAGGAGCTGTGACACCTTCCTGAGGGGTGTTTTCTCCAGGCTGCTCTCAGAGATGCCACTGAGGCAAACTCCCAGCAAGTCTTACCCTTCCTGCTTTGTGAACTTTATCCTTAAAATGTTTTTCTTAGCCTCTAATCAGAATCTTTTCTTCCTTCCTTGGGTTTAAGCCCAAGATTTCCCGTCCACTGTGGACAGAGTGCAGGTTGTTTGATTTCTTCTCCCTTCCCCCTCTTACATAATTGGAGATGTTTCCTCATCTCATGCCGATTTTCTTTAGTATAAAATTCTTTCTGTGTTTTAGCGTGTTTGTTTATTCTCTCTTTCCAAATAGCTCTAAACAAATCCAAACCAAAAACTAGCCCAATCTGTCCTGGCTTGTTGGTCACACACTGCTGGAATGTTACTCCTAACATCTGCTCAGACATACGAAGGGGCGGCCGTGCGCCACGTGTCCCAGCGAAAGGACCAGGCGTGTTTATCAGCTCTACCTCGGGCGTGTTTCAGAGCAGAGCAGGTATTTTAACAGTCAGTGAGGCTGCCTGTCGTTCCCAGGGAGCTTTGTAGTTCAGACCCTTTCAAAAAGTTTAAGGGGAAAAAGGTTCATGGAATGATGGAATTGTCAGAGTTGGAAGGGACCACTAGAGACATCTAGTCCAACTCCCCTGCCAGAGCAGGGTTGCCCAGAGCACAAGGCATCATCAGGCATTGCAGGGACACTGGTGGGCTTCCCAAGGACCCTTGGGTCCAGCTCATGCTGTTCCATAGGCTTGGATGGGTAGAGACGACCTTCTTGGCTCATCTCCCTTGCCCATCTGTCCCAAAGAGATGGTACCTATCCACACCAGCATCCACCATGTCAGCTTTCCTGCCTTAAAGGTGGTGAGGGACAGAAGGAAGTTAAAGATCACACTCATTTCATGTGTGGTCTCAGGAAAACCATATTCCTCAGCTTTTGCTTTGGCCTTACTGGACTGATGAGGGGTAGGAGCAGTGTGTGTTTGTTTATGCAGCCCCCAGTTAGACTGTAGATTGATCACAGTAAAAGCTGTTGAATGTTCCTGCAACGTGAGTGGCATTTGTATGTTTTTCATCAACATCTGTGGAGTCCTTCTTTCCCCTCCTGTGCATGTGGGGGTACACAGAAATAGCTCACAGCCCGGACAGCGGGCTATATTGAGATGGAGATGTAAATTAAGCAAAGAAGTGGAGAGAGAACAATATCCTGATAGAAAGCAACACACTGTTCCCCAATTTCAGGGATGTATTTAGTCAGAGCTGGCACGGCCAGTGTAAGGAAGAGAAGGAAGGGGAAAGGAACTGGGCAGAGAGGAGACAGAGAGGCAGATGGGGAACAGCTCTGGCACAGGCTCGGGGAAGGAACTGATTGCCAGTCGTTAATCAGAGCCAGCCTGTGTTCAGTTTGTGAGCTGATCTCCTGTGCTGTGGAGTTTCTCTTTCGAGGAATGGGACCTTTCTGTGCTGGAGTGAGTCCCTGTTACTGCACACAAACCTAGGGAGAAAGGAGGGGAGACCAGCTCGTGTTCTCAATTCATCTCACTGAAGATGAGGAGGGGAAGGAAAGCAGGGAGAATCTAGGGAAGAAGCTCTTCCCACCAGCAGAAAAAATACTGCTGTACAAAAGGGAATGTGGGTGGCAGTGATTTGTAAGGAGAAATCACAGTTTGGCTAAGTAGTGACTTTGGAGGAGGACATGAAAATACGTCTTGAGTATTTGAAAGAGGAGGAGGAATTACTGAGGGTGGTCTAAAAGAACAAAAGCTACAATAGTAGGTTAAAATTTAGAAAGTACATATAAAGTATGAAGAGATTTTTCCTAACAGTGAACTCTGTCAGAAACTAAAGCTGCCTCTGAGAGGTTTTAACAAGATCACTATTGGATTTGAATATAGATGGGAAATAAGATGGGACCAACTGGAAATAGACTCAAGCCATAAATAACGGGTGTAATCCCTTTATTTTGTGATAAGAAGACAAAGGGGTCTTCTGCTGTCAGCCCCTTGGGAACTGAGTGCTACAAGAAAAAAGGAATATGAGGATCCTAGAAGAGCTTGTCCCAGAGCTGCTGGGCTGAGGGTGTGCACGTTAAAGAATCTTTATTTCAGCCCAAACAGATGTCTCGTGTAATGTTTCTTTGTCCGCCGCGGTGCTGAAACGTTTCCATCTCCCGTGCAGCCTGGGAAGGGAAGCAGCCGGACGGGCGGGCGGGCAGCCCCCACCACCCCACCTCCTCCGTCAAGCTCGAGAACTCCCTGCCAGGGCTGGGGAAGAAGCCGTTCCAGAGATCTGACAGGCTCCACGCAAGTAAGAGATTTATTCTTCTGCTTACAGAGGTCTGGTTGCTCTGATGGCGGAACAAAAAACCTAAATAGCAAAATTGAGTAAAATGCGTAATTATTCCATTGCTAAAGTGACTTCTGGAGAGCTCTGGAAGGGGCTGCTAGTGTGCTCTGTGAATTGGGATAAATAATTCAAACCTTACATATGCAAATATGCCTCTTCTCATTTCTCATCATCAGGGGTTTCTCCCTGTGAATTTGCAGCTTGCTGTTTGAGAAGCAAAAAAGGACTTGCATTATTTATCAGGCTTTTTAATGTACTTAAGACATTTTGGTAACTTTAAAAAGAAAAAAGAAATGCCTTCCCAGATCTTTATACATCAGACCCTGCTGTATTTGGTTTCCTTCCCATTCACTGAAGTAGCTGTCTTGACCTTTTGCGGTTTCTCTCACATATACCAGTGATGGACTGACCTGGGTGAGCTTAGGGACATTCTGAGGTCCCTGTCTCTGCTAATCATCCTGCATTTCCTTTAGCACTAAATAGGCACTGCTCAGGGTGTATTCCATTTTTCTCCATGTAATTAGGAGATTCTGCAACTTCAGTAGATTATAAACCTGCAGAGCCATTTTCTGAATGACTGTTAATAGAGCAAACTTCCCCTAATGGAGCAAGCCCCCGTGGTGTTTATGTTGTGAGGTGCTGTTACCTTACAAATAATGCTCTCATCCCGGAGTCAGGGGGAGTCAGGCTCTGGCTTAATAGTGCCCCTTTCACTGATAATGCACTTTTAGCCTAAGCTTCAAAACACACCATGTTTTGCCAGTAATAGGCAGTGATGGATCAAAAAAAATAAGAGTACACAGTAAAATGCCTTTTCTTCTTTTTCATTTCATTTCTTTTTCATTTTTCTTCTCTGAATTTGCAGCAGGCATGAGGCTGTAGCATATGGGTTAATGCTGGACTTGCTGGCTTGCAAACTCAGAACAGGAAAGGGGATAGTTCCTTGGTTCTGCTGCTTTCTCTGCTGGTGTGGTTTCTGCAAAGCACAATGAGCTGGTGATTTTTTTCTGAACTGCTTTTGCTGAGAGCAGAGTAGGAAAGTCCAAGAAGAAATCCTGAGGAACAAACTGACCTGAACTAGGGGCTTAAAATAGAAAATCGATGTGGCCAAAAGCAGTTTAGAAACCCTCCTGAGAAAGACTCCTTGCCAGTCCCAGGTAGCCAGGATGGCTGCAGAAGACAGGGGAACTGACACAGGGTACAGTGTGTTAGGTGTGGAAATTTTCTGTGCTGGAAATCACCTCCACATGGTTTTTTTAATTATATGTGTAAAGGTAAAGTGTATATTTCAAGTCAAGGTATGAAATGGATTGCTGAAGTTGCATTTTGAAAATCTTAGGTAGTGTGAACTCCAAAGGAGTCTTTAATCCTCTCTCAGGTGAGAGGTTACTTAGGTCTTTGTGGTTCCTTGCAGGGCAGCTGAAGAGAACGAAGTGCGCTGAGATCGACGTGGAAACCCCCGACTCCATCCTGGTGAACACCAACCTGCGGGCTCTGATCAACAAGCACACCTTCTCCGTCCTGCCCACGGAGTGCCAGCAGCGCCTGCTGCTGCTGCTGCCCGAGGTGGACAGGCAGGTACGTGGGGAGGAGACGGGCTCTCTGAAGAGAACGAAGTGCGCTGAGATCGACGTGGAAACCCCCGACTCCATCCTGGTGAACACCAACCTGCGGGCTCTGATCAACAAGCACACCTTCTCCGTCCTGCCCACGGAGTGCCAGCAGCGCCTGCTGCTGCTGCTGCCCGAGGTGGACAGGCAGGTACGTGGAGAGGAGACGGGCTCTTGGGCCTCACGGGGAGCATCCCTCCAAATGCTGGCTGTGTCCAGTGGGACTTGTTCTCCTGTGCACGGTGTTAAAAAAATATTGGAAGATTCTTCAGCAATTTGTTTGGGTATTTGTTGCTGCCAGAAAAAAAGGAACTGAGGTTGGAGAAACCAGGGGCTTAATTCTGTTTAATCAAGTCCATGTTCCCAGCCACAGCGAGAGCAGTGTTGCTGTTGGGTTGGGCTTGGAGAGGGCCAGGAGTGGTGGGAACATGGCGGTGTCAGCATCTCCCTCTCTCCTGCCCTCTCCCAGGCTCTGGAGAACAGGATTGACCCTGCAGCCCCTTCCCCCAGCGCCTTCCCCCAGGGTGCCCTAACACACGTGGCTGTTAGTTCTCAACCTGGTGTCACTGCTGTCAGGCTCTGAACTTGGTAGAGTGAAAACTGAGTTTTCTGTCGCTATTCACACTGTCCAGGTTGCAGAGTAGACACGACCTGTGCCAAAGAGCTCGTGTCCTGCCCTGAAACACACACTAGATGGAAGGTACAAAGCAGTGTGGTTTATTTCTGCGTCAGCCTTCTCTGAGTGAAGAGAGGGGTGTGAAAAAGAAGAAGAGTTCTCAGTGGGGAGGAACTAGATGATCTTTAAGGTCCCCTCCAACCGTTCTGTGATTCTATGAATCGGGTCTTTTTGCTCTGGGAGTGGCCCAGAAGAAACAGCGAAGATTTTCGCTGAGCTCTTTACTAAAGAGTTGGTGACAACTGGAACAATTAACCTGAGTGACAAGGGGGTAAGAGCTCAGCCTTCGGTACTGGAGGAAGAGCTAAGGGACCCTTTTGAGAAGACAGTTATTTTCAACTCAGCTGGGTCTGCTGAATTCCACCCTAAGGGTACAGAAAAGAACTGCATGAAGGAACCTCACCGTTGTCTTCAGCAGCTTGTGGAAGGCAGGGATGATACAAAGAGAAAAGAACAAATGCTGCACTTGCATGTAAAAGGAGGAAAAGCCAATGATTTGAAGAAGTGAGGTTCAGTCTGTGTATGCTCGATACCAGAGAAGTTGTAGATGGAGGCTTCCTTCCTTTTGCCACATTCATACATTCTGTCTCTTCAGTGTTCCCACCCCGACAGGCACAGACAGAAAAGAGCTGTGTGAAGGAACCTCACCGTTTTCTTCAGCAGCTTGTGGAAGGCAGGGATGATACAAAGAGAGGAGAAAAGAACAAATGCTGCACTTGCATGTAAAAGGAGGAAAAGCCAATGATTTGAAGAAGTGAGGTTCAGTCTGTGTATGCTCGATACCAGAGAAGTTGTAGATGGAGGCTTCCTTCCTTTTGCCACATTCATACATTCTGTCTCTTCAGTGTTCCCACCCCGACAGGCACAGGGAGCTCCAGAGCCAGGTGGGGCTCTGGGCTGTGCTTCCACTCCAGCTACAGAGCCATTAATTCAGCTGCCTTCACAAATGTGCCCAGAGCTGTTTCAAACGTTCTCCAAATACCAAAGCTGGCTTCAAGCTGCCACTCCAGATGGAGATCTTCTGTACCTCCTGTCTCAGATCTGCCTGTCCCTTGAAGACACTTTGTGTGCTGTTCAGATCAGTACTAGATGCCCATGTTTACCCTTCGCAGCCGCCTCCCAGGAGTCTGCAAATCAACAATTTCCTTTTAGAAAAGTGGAAATCTGGTTAAATCAAGAGCCTGTGACCAAGTGCAGGTGTGTGCTGCAGGACGAGGTGAACCGAGTCCCCACCTCCGTTCTCTGGGCTGACTCAGTCACTACAGACTGAGGGGACACTGGCTCAGACGAGACACGTGGAGCACAGACATCCATGGAGTTAGACCCATCTGCATGGCTGGGCTGCTCTTCTGCTTCTCCCAGAGTGTTGATGACACGTCCGGGTCTGGCACCACCCTTGGCTCTGTGCTGCAGAGGATGCTGTGCTGGACAGAGAGGGCACGTTTGGAGTTAGGGAGAGTTCGAACGTTTTATGTCATCTCATAAATTCTAATCCTTAATCGGCATTCACCAGGGGCTTGTTAGTCCGAGGCTGATCCAATAAATATTGGAAGGAATTGCTTTATAAGTCCTGTGGCCTTTGTAATAATTAGGTATGTGTCAAAGTATGGTGTGATGGAGTTTGCAGCTGGAGTTCACTGGCAAGAACCTCGCAGCAGATGGCAAGACATTTCTGTCCTGACTTTTTAAGTTTTAATTGAATTAGAATTTGACTGAGAACAAATTTTGACTAACTAAGTAATATTGCTTGGCTCCAGAGAGGACAAATTTTCCATTTCACTGTGGTAAATCTCCTAGTGCAGCCCACCATGTCGAGTGGTGAGCCGTGCTTTAAAAAACATCAGGCTTTCGGGAGGAAACGGGAGAAGGGGTACTGTGAACTCTGGTCCTTCTAGTCCATCGATAGAGTTTTAGCCTAGAAAATAAATCTCTGCTGTTGTAAATCCCTATAACCGCTGCTCCTAACTTACAGCTTAAGAATTTCTAACTAAATCTTACCTAAAAACCCTTCTGTGAGGTCACCTCCATCGTTGTAATTGCCTGTGTGACGAGCGCTGAGCGAGCTAAAGGCAGCTTCCAGAGAGATTTGTGGCCATGTTGGGACTCTTGCTCTGCTTTCGGGTGCCGTGTGACACCCCGTGGTGTTGGCCTTCCCCGCTGGTTGATCCTGTCCCCCGTTGTGGTGTGTTCCAGGTCGGGGCGGATGGTTTGATGAAGCTGAGCGGCTCCGCACTCAACAACGAGTTCTTCACTTCTGCTGCCCAGGGCTGGAAGGAGCGGTTGTCAGAAGGTAAAACTGCCCCAGACAATGAAGTACAAGGCTAGAAGGTTTCCAGCTAGGGAGTGTTTTGGGGAATGTGTAAAGGGTATTTGATGGAGGAGCTGGAGTGCTGTGCTCGGTGAGGACAGCTGTAGTCAGTGCGGCCCCCGAGAGCAAGAACTATCTCATCCCGAGGTCGCAGAGGGGGCTGCAGGAAGGAGTTCTTTTTGAACTTCACATGTGGAAAAATGAGCAAGTCTCTGGAAGAGACGAGAAAAGAAGGAAAAATGTGTTTAAAATCTTGCTGCGATGCCAGCAGAGCTGTGCTGTGCTCCAGCTGTGGTAGTGGAGATCAGTAGAGAAGGTAAATGATATTCCCGCAGTAAAGTGCTTTGTCATCAGCGAAGCCGTCAAAGCACAGGGCACGGCCAGTCCTGCAGCTGTGGTTTTTATGTAACATCAGAGCAGCCATCGACTAATCCACGGGACTCCTGCACCTTCCACATCCAGTGGCATCTTGAACTTAGAGGTCCTTAATTCTGTGGTTTGATCAAACCACACCACCAGAAGCGACTCACTCGTGGGCAGGGAGCGTGTCCTCTGCAGAACTCAGCCGTGCAGCCTCTCACCAGAGGGTTTATAGGGACTATAGCACCAACCATGACCTGTATAAGAAGAAGGGCATATCATTTACTCACGCCCAGATGATTGACTCTTAAGAGGCTTTTCTATAGGAAATGTACCCAATTGTGTATGACCCTGCCTGGGCAGGGGGTGGGACTGGCTGGGTGTTAAGGTCCCTTCCCACCCAAACCATTCCATGGTTGTATGAAACACGTTGCAGCTCAGGAGAGAGGCCGCAGTCCCACGGGCAGGGCTGCAGAGGGGACTGTGGGATGGCACTCACACCTGCTCCTGCACAGGAAGGCTCCTGAGGTTACCCTCATTCATCTTATCTGCAGCTTTTGGAAAATAACCTTTATTGCCTTTCTCAGGTGAGTTTACACCAGAAATGCAGCTAAGAATACGGCAAGAAATAGAGAAGGAAAAGAAGGTGGAGCTGTGGAAGGAGCATTTTTTCGAGAGCTACTATGGCCAGAGGTAAGGTGTTCAGCCGTCTTTTTACTCCTGCACCTCCTCTCCAGACTGGTTCACCAGGGGTGAACCACTTAGGGGTTCAAGTTTGGGCTAAAAAAAATATGATTCGATATTTTGTTAGGAGAGATGGATGAACTTAATCCTAAACCAGACGTCACTCTGGGAATTACAGTCCCATCTTACTCATTTCTTTCACAAATAAGGACGGGTGAATAATCCAGGGAAGCAGCCCCAGCTCTTGGCTGGTGCAGAGAGGCAGCAGTGTCGGGTCTCAGCTGAGGGTGCCTCGGTGGCTCTGCCACTGGCCATGTCCCTCTGAAAAAGCGATGGGATGCTCTCGGTGTCCCTTTCCACAAATGTCACCGTATGGGCTTATGTCAGATGGGAGCTGTGCGGGGTGGCTCGTGTGCTCCAGATACATCTGCGGTGGCTGATAAAGGGAATAGTTACTGGTGGCCAAATTCACGGGGTTTGCAGCCTGGAAAATGTGTATCTGAGTAGAGGCCTAGGTCAAACTTGAAGTTCTACCAGGGCAGAAGGAAGGTTTTCAAAGATCGTGGTGAGAGACATCTCTTTAGGGTGTGGTGCGAAGAAAATCCTCGCTGTTTTCCTAAGGATTGTAGGCTTTTTGCAAGAGTGTTTCACAAAATAAAAATTTCATTTTTATTGACAGTTCTGGACTGAGTCCTGAAGAGTCCAAGAGACTGACAGCAAACACCAGCCCTGCCGAGACAGAGCCTGAAAACGCAGCAGCTGAGCAGCCAAAATGCGCGGCAGCCTCTCCGGCACCGCTCAAAGAGGAGGTGTCCTCTCCCTCGGAGTCCAAAGCACAAGCGGCCGTAGAAGCACCAGCCATGAAAAGAGGGGGAGAGGAGAGGAGAGAGGACACACAGCCCAAAGCAGCCCGACCCACGGAGGCCTCGGTTTCCCCGGGTGCGGTGAGACCCGGTGACCGCTCTCTGCCCGTCAGAGAGAGAGTCCCAGGAGAATCCAGCCCAGAGAAGCCCCCAGCTGCCGTCACCCAAAAGCCCGACGAAGCGAGGAAGCAGCCTGCGCCGAAGGGAGCGCTGGCCACAGAGGCTGTCGGTGCCTCAGCTCTGGCCCCCAGCAAACCAAAGAGCCCCGAGGCAGGGGAGGGGGTCGCAGAGGTGAAAAGTCCGGTGACCGCTCCAGAACCACCGGAGAAGAAGCCCCCTGTAAGCGAAGAGATGGAAGTCAGTGTGGAAGCCCAGAAGAGGAAGTCAGAGAGTCGTGAAGAAGCTCTGGCGGCTCCTGAGAAAAGGCCGCGCCTGATGGAGAACTGCCAGCACCGCCCGGCCTTTCGGGGCCAGCCCCAGTCCTTTCCTGCCGCGGGGACCCCGGTGCCGCGGGTGCCCCCACTCAAGGTAAAGGGAAAGGAGGACACATCCCTGTTCCCTGGGTCACTGCAGCTGGTGGCTCTGGCAGAAACGCTTTGTCCCTTCGGTTCTGGTTCCGTAGGTAAATTATGGCACCTGATCATTGCAGGGATGGAAATACTTGTTCCAAAAA